ACAAAATTTTTCATGGAGGGCATAGCTAGTGCACTAAGAACTGAGATGATTGAGTATAACATAAAAGTCACCTGCATTCAACCTGGCGATGTAAAAACTGAATTATTACATAGGACTAGTGATTTTGAGGTAAAAATAGTTTCCTGAATTTGATACAATACTGATATTATAAAAAAATTTTAATTTTAGGCTCTAAAGCGATATGACTGCAGCTCTAATAATGAAATTCTTGAGCCATCAAATATCGCAGAAGCTGTTTTATTTGCAGTTACACAACCATCATTTTGTGCTGTCAATGAAATTCTAATTGAACCAAAAATGCTACCAATTTAAATATTTAATATCACAAGTAAATCACATATAGTACAAAAAAAAAAATGTATTCTAATTTTATATTATTTATTGTTTTAAATATATTTTTATATTTTTATTTTTTTAATGAATCATGTAGTTTAATCATGTTAAAAAAATAAAAACTTTTAGCATAATTACTTTTCAATTTTGTAAAATATGTAAAATAGCCTAATAAATATCATGTTGAGTATTACTGTTGGCTAGCAAACTACTGCCCTCATGCTTTCACAGTAGTGTCGTATACGCTGATAACTCGAACGTACACAATAAATCAACCATCAAAAATATTGTAATACTTTTTATTTACTTACGACGTCCAGTGATAATCGAGTCATAGTATAATTGTTTACTTAACCTAATTTTTAAGTACTAACAATTAAAAGCTTATTACAACAGTAGTGATGGGCAAAACGAGTCTTTTAAACGATTTGGTTAGTTTGGATCGGGTCATTCAAATAACCCGTTCATATGATTTGTTCATTTCGTTAATTCCTTTCATTTGAACAATAAACCACATGAACGAATAATATATTATCTACTGATATCCGAATCTTTGAACCACGAACGAACTAAAACCATTCCCGAACGTCCGAATTCACAATTTCGTGCCAGAGCATAACCTACTCCCGGTTTTTTTTTATAACTTATATGTATATGCTTACTGATAAAAATTACTATGCGTCTTAATAGTAAATTTCCTAATATTTTATTTATCAAAAAACTGAAATTTATTAATTTATTAACACATTAATAACTTCACTGTAAACCCGTTAAGTCAAACACGGTGGTTCAATAGAGTTGATGCTATTAGAGCTATGAGATTTTACGTTGGTGAAATTTATGATCCATTAATATATACATATAAAAATTCAGATTTTTGGCATTTTTAAATACACTATGACCATTTTTCGAATCATTCAAATTTTTTACACCACTTAAGGATGATCCTGTGACAATACAAACTTAGGTTTTTCAAATAGGAACCTCCCTTTTTCATTTTTAATTATTAAGCAGAAATTTTTTTTGAGAATTTTGAAGTATCTTATTATTATAATCAATTTACTGTGACATTGCCATTAAAATTACATACGTGCCAGTCGTGCCACCCGTCAAAAGGCTGTCGCCTTACCAGCCCAGACTACAGCGTGGTTATGCCGAGTAGCAGACAGCACTACAGCAGTACAGGTCATACCTTTTTTTGTTCTCATTTATTATTATTATATATTTTATATTGTATGTATTCGGACGAATAAGTTTTGATTTATAATTAAGAGTAATACGGATTACGGGCCCGCTCATTATTATTATTATTGCCATCGTTATATCTATACGCTGTTTTGCGATTAATATATTATGTCTGGCGCCCGGCGTCCGTAAGTCCGTTAATTGTATTATAATTATTGTATTGTATAAACATTTCACAAAATGAGTAACCTTACCTTCCAACACCCCGAAAGTCGCGGCCGACAACCGCCGCCCTTGTAGGAGCGGTCGCGGCGCAACAACACTATACCTAATATAATTTCTTGAAGAATTAAAATCATAATATTATGATTTTTTTTTTTTTTTTGTCATATTTATTTTTATTTGTACAATCTGTATAAAAAAAATATTTACAATAAGTACAATGGAGATAATGATAGTATATATTGGTAATTGGACATGGTTGACTTGTTGAAGAGACTATTCATTGATAGCACTTCATGGCAGGATGGTGGACTAGTCAACTAGTCGATTAGTAGGTCACGGCACCAGCTACGCTTTAAACGTCGGCCAGGGTCGCCCGGGATTGTTCGGCAAGATAGGTTTTGGATGAGAGGGTTTCGGTGATTTGGAAGTTTAAGGTGGAAACGTTTATAGAGGGTTTTGGCGACGTTTTTTACTGTCGGAATGAGGAGGTCCCTGTGGAGGGTATCATTTGTAACATAAAAAGGGGCTTTGGTTATCTGCCTGAGGCATTTGGATTGAAATGTTTGGATTCGGTTTATGTTGGAGTCTTTGGCTGAACCCCAGAGTTGGATTCCGTAGGTCCAGATAGGTTTGAGGAGTACTTTGTACATGAGGATTTTATTGTGTAGTGAGAGATGTTTGGATGATAGGAGGAGGCGAAGTTGTCTTTGACGATTATTTAGTACAAGTCGTTTGTTACGTATGTGGGTAGCCCACGTGAGTCGACGATCTAGGCATAAGCCTAGATAACGGACATTTTGAGCGGTCGGGAGTGGTTGGTTGTTGAGTGTGATAGAGGGACAGCTTATTGGTCTGAGAGTGAATGTGCAGTGAATGGATTTGGATTCATTGAGTTTGAACCCCCATTCTTTGTACCATGTCGAGAGGATGTCAAGGTGGGTTTGGATTCTGCTGGATGCCTCGAGAGGGTCATGGTGAAGAGCCAGGATGGCTTTATCATCGGCGAAGTCACCGGTGGTGGTGAAGTTGGTAGTGGGTTGGTCTGATGTGTACAGGTTGAATAAAAGAGGTGCCGCTACAGCTCCTTGCAGTACTCCAGCTCTAATTGATGATATGTCAGATAGGGCTAAGCCATATCGTACGGAGAAGTGCCTGTCTTCTAGATAGGACTTGAAGATTAAGTAGAAGCTGGGTGGAAATATTGATTTTAATTTGAAGAGGAGGCCGTGATGCCATACCTTGTCAAACGCTTGTGCTACATCTAAGAAGGCGCCTGTGCAGATTAGTTTCTTTTCAAGAGAATAGGAAATTTTGTCAACTATACGATGAACCTGGTGTATGGTGGAGTGGTTATTACGAAATCCGAATTGATTGTCTGGGAGGTTTGTGTCAATGATTGGGAGTAGGCGTTTAAGTGCAAGTTTTTCAAATACTTTGGAGAAGAAAGGTAGAAGGCTTATTGGTCTGTATGAGCTGGGAGAGTCAGCGGGTTTCCCGGGTTTAAGTATCATAATTATGATCGAAAATTTCCAAAGTAGAGGGAAGTATGAGAGTCTGAGCATGGAGTTGAAAATGTGCGTGAGTGATAAGATGGCTTTTCTGGGAAGTTGGGAGGCGACTTCTGATGTAATGAGGTCGTAACCTGGGGTTTTATGACGCGCAGATTTATTGATTGTAAATTCGACTTCACTGGGTCTAATATGTTTTGGCGGAAGGGTCATAGGTAGTGGACTGGATAGGAAGTGGTTGACTTCAACTATTTTATTACGGGGTATGATGTCAATATGTGGCTGGAACGTTGTGTGTAGGTGATGACGAAAAGCATTAGCTTTTTCCGAGTCACTGATAAGCCATGTGCCGTCAGGGTTTCTCAGGGGGGGTACTGGTGGTTGAGAGCGGAGAATTTTTCTGGTGTTTTGCCAAAGAGAATTGTCGGTGGTGGAAAGGGATGCGAGATGGTTTGTTAAGTTATCGGATTTGATTTTAGCTAGGATTCTTTTGAGTTTATTGGTGAGGTGATTAAATAGTCGTTTGTCAGAGGGATATTTAGTTCTTTGCCAAACAGCGCGTGCTTTTCTTTTTTCCGATATTAGAGTTCTGACAAAATGTGGAAGATTAGGGGTGGGTTTATTCAGTGGGTTAGGAATAGTGGAGGAGGACCAAGCTGCTTGTTGAATTGATGTTGTGAGGGTGTGAACAGCGTCGTCTATGTCTTGAGTTGATTTTAGTCTAGTTTTGAGATCTATACGGTTAACGAGTTGGGTTCTGAAGGCTTCCCAGTCCATACGACCTTGAGTGAGACTAGGTTTGTTCGGCTTTTTAGAGGCAGCGGTGTCTATTGTGAGAAGGACTTCCGAGTGATCAGAGCATAGATCGTCGAGGTTAGTTAATGTATTGTGAAGGCTGTTTGGGATTTTCGTGACAAATATGTCTAGAATGTCTGGTCTTTTTCTTAGGGATGTGGGCCAATAGGTTGGAGAAGGAGGAGCGTGAATTTTGTAATTATTTTGTTGCGATAGGTTATGTAGGGTGTTACCGCGAGGGTTGTTGGTGCGACAGCCCCATTGTATGTTTTTCGCGTTTAGATCGCCTCCAATTATAAATCTTTGGCCTAGTGTATTAAAGAAGTGCTGGAAGAGAGTTGGTGTTATGGAATGACGGGGAGGGCTGTATATGGCATAGATATTAATGGGAATATTGTTTAATATTAGAGCAATTCCGCAGGCTTGTATATGGGCTGTTTGGTATTGAGGAAGAGGGTAGAATAATAGTGAGGTTCTTATAAAAATAGCAGCGCCAGCATGGGCTGTGCCGTCTGGGTGGTTTGATTTAATAATGTGGTAACCAGGAAGGTTTATTTGTGTGGTATTAGATAGGTGTGTTTCTGAAATAAGTGCAATATCGATTCTATTGTTTTGGAGGGTGGCCAGTAGTTCGTTTTTACGGTTAATTAGGCCATTAGAGTTCCAGGTTAAGATGAGGAGAGAGTTGGATGTAAAATTATTGGTTTGCATTTTATTTGTTTATATTATTTATGAGGTTTGTGAGGACTTGGGTGAGGAGGGATAGTAGGGGATTTATGATTGATTTAAATTCATCAAGAAATTCAGTGAGAGAGGTCTCATTATCAGTTGAGTCGGAATGGTTGTTGGGAGGGGGACCCTTAGTCGCGTTTGCATACGTACGTGGGTGCGCTGAGGAGTTTTCATTAAGTTGAGTTTGGTGTTCTGGACTGCTGGAAGTGTAGGGTGGCTGTGGTTGAGAGTTGTAGCTTGAGATGTTGGTAGTTTTACTTGAGATGTTGGCGGTTTTACTCGAGAAGTTTGGACGCTTCTGTCTGAGTTGTTTGAAGATGAGACAACCCTTATAGTTTGCTGGATGAGGGCCTGAACAGAGGGCACATTTTGCAGGGAGCTCTGGAGGTTTTATACATGATGATGTTGGGTGGCAGTCGCCGCATTTGACGCATTTAGGGGGGTAAGCGCAGTAGGTTCGGGTGTGGCCATAGGACTGGCAGTTAAGGCATTGCGGTATTTCTCGTTTTTTATGTGGTTCTTCTATTTTGACTTTTGTATGTAGTAAGGCAGTGATGGAGAAAATATCGTTGTCGCTTTCTTGAGGGTTTAGATCAACAAAGAACATTGGGAGTGGTGATTTTGTTTGATGGTGCCTGATGTTTATTACATTTTTGACTGAGTGGCCAATTTCTTCGATTGCAGCAGCGATGTCTTCAACTGGGGTAGTTGGATGAAGATTTTTGACTACTATTCTTAAGGATTTTTCCGAGTGGAGTTGGTAGGTGTGATATTGGGCATTAATGTCTTTAAGGAGTCGGATTAGTTTCCTGTAATTGTCAGGGCTGTCTGTTTGAATTTTAAGGTGCGCTGTAGAGGACTTACACGAAAAGCTGGTTGGGCCAATTAGGTCTCGGATACTGTTTCGTAATCCTATGTAGTCCAGGACGCCTTTGATAAATACGGGTGGAGGGAGAATAGGCTTTGGTGTGGCATGTGTAGTATTCGATTGCCCCTGGCTGGAAGCTTCAAGCTGGCTATCGATGCCTATGTTTTCGTTATCGGGGTTCGGATTATCATCGTCAGCAATTAGAGCTTCATAGCGATTTGGTGTCACAAATAGTTTCGTTTTCTTGGCAATGATGGCAGACGGTGAAGACGGTGGGGTGGATGATGTAGATAAGGCGCGTTTGCCTTTGTACGTATTATATTGTTATGTGTAGGAATATAAATATTACACAACAACTGCGTACTTTTAGGTTTTATTTTATAAATTTGAAAACAACTTTTAACAAAAACTTTTTATGTTAACTAAACGTTAAAAATAAAAAAAACTACAAGAAGTGTGTGGAGTTCACATTGTAGACCAAGCGTTATTTTACGCAGTGTCGCCAATGTCCCCACACTACTCCCCTCCGAGAGACGGAGTCGGTTATACTAACAATTTAACAAATGATAACAATATTTATAAACAGTAAAATATTAATATTAACCACGAACTACTACATAGTCGTAGTAGTTCGTGATATTAACAATATAACAATTTTTTGAAATTAATTACTTTACCAAATAACAATAGTACAGTCTTTCGGTTTACAAATAAGATTAGTAATTTAAACATTACTATTTGTGTTTTAGGAACTAGTTTCAAATTTTACAGATTTACTATGTTTTACTTTTACCATTGCTGTATAGGAGTGGTCATGTTGAACTGTGTCGTCTTAAAGTAGGAACGCAGGTTTCAGTCTATCGATAGATATGTTCTTCGTGTCTCCGTTGATACTGACGTTAAAGTATTTTTCTTCTCTGCTAACGACTTTGAAAGGTCCATCGTACGGTGTTTGTAATGGTCTTCTTACAGCATCATGTCATACAAAGACATGAGTTACTGTTCTTAATTCTGGTGCCACAAAAGGTTTGTTTCTATATTTGTGTGTTTCTGGTGCTGGTGTTAATTGATTAAATTTTTCTTTCAATTGCGTTACAAGTGTTTGAGGAAGAACATTTACTGAATTGTCCTCTTCAAAAAAATCTCCAGGTAAGCGCAATGTCTGCCCATACACCATTTCTGCAGGAGTTATGTTAGACTCACCTTTTAATGCACATCGTAATCCTAATAGTATTATTGGCAAAATGCTTACCCAATCTGACTTCTCATAAGCCATTATTGTTTGTTTGAGTGTTCTATGAAAGCGTTATATCTTCCCATTTGTCTGCGGGTGGTAAGGGGTTGTACGTGCACGATGGATGCCTAATGTCTTGTTGAATGCTGAGAACAGTTGACTTTCAAATTGTTTACCTTGGTCTGTGATTATTTTTTCAGGTATTCCAAATCTAGATATCCATGTGTTGAAAAAGGCTTCAGCCACTGTTTCTGTTGACATATCTGGTAACGGAATGACTTCTGTCCAACTGGTACATCTATCTATGCACGTTAAGCAATATCTGTTGCCTTTTACCAACGGTAACGGTCCTATGAGATCAATGTGAACATGTCGGAACCTTACTGCTGGTATATCTAACTTCTGAAAGGGGCTTCGAGTGTGACGTTGTACTTTAGCTTTCTGGCATTGAATACAATATTTAGCCCATTTAACGCAGTCTTTTCGCATAGATGGCCATACATATTTTGCTGCTACGAGTTTACTTGACTGACGTTGTCCTGGGTGTGTCAAGTTGTGTACGGCTTTGAACACTGCTTTCCTGAAATTAACTGGTATATATGGTCGTATATTGTTAGTAGATGTGTCACAATAAATAAATGTATTATTTGCACCATGTTTTAATTTTTTTAGTACTAAACCTGTGTTTGATGTCAATAGATGTTGTAGTTCTGGAACACTTTCTTGATGTAGTTGCAATAACTCATAATCTATGGTGTTTGGAAAATTTATAGCTTCAATTCTGGACAAAAAATCTGCTGTTATATTTTCTTTGCCTGCTATATATTCAATATTCGTTGAAAATTGACCAATATAATCAAGTTGTCTTACTTGTCTGGGTGAAGCTTTGGATGATTTCTGTTCAAATGCTGTTATAAGTGGTTTATGATCTGTGTAAATGGTGAATGTTTGACCTTCAAGCATATATTTAAAATGTTTAACAGCTGTGTAAATGGCCAACAATTCCCTGTCATAAGTGCTGTAATTTTTTTGAGCTTTAGATAGTTGCTTGGAAAAATATGCAATTGGTGCCCAACTGTTGTTCATTTCTCTTTGCTCTAGTACTGCTCCTATAGCATTGTCGGATGCATCTGTAGTTAATGCAATTATGGCATTGCTCCTTGGGTGTGTGAGTAAGGTAACATCTGCCAGTTCTGTTTTGCACCGTATAAATGCCTCTTCTGTTTCTTCATTCCACTGGATTGGTCTATTGTCATTCTTAGATGTATGTTTTAAATAGTTGTTCAATATTCCTTGATTTTTAGCTGCTCCAGGAATCCATATTCTATAAAAGTTTATCATTCCTAAGAATCTGCGAAGCTCTTTGACTGTTTTGGGTGGTTTGAAATCTTGTATGACTGCTATTCTTTCCTTATCTGGTAATGTTCCTCTTTCTGATATGTTGTAGCCCAAAAATTTAACAGATTTCTCACCGATTGTACTTTTTTGTAAATTTATAGTTAAACCATATTATTGAAGGCGTTGAAACACAAGGAGTAGGTGTTCCTTATGTTCTTCTTCATTGCTTGATGCTATGAGTATGTCGTCAATATATATGAAACAAAAGTTTAGACCTGTAAAAACTTCATTTATAAACCGTTGAAAGGATTGAGCTGCATTCTTAAGTCCAAAACTCATCCTAACAAATTCAAATAATCCAAAAGGAGTTATTATGGCTGTCTTTGGAACATGTTCTGGATGTATAGGTATTTGATGATAGGCTCTTTTGAGATCCAAGGTTGAAAAGATAGTTTTACCTGCTAACATGTGGCTGAAATCTTGAATGTGTGCAATCGGAAAACGGTCTTCGATTGTGATTCCATTTAGACGCCTGTAGTCGCCACAAGGTCTCCATTCATTTGTTCCCTTCTTCCTTACTAGTTGGAGTGGTGATGCCCATGGACTTTTTGATGGTCTACATATGCCCATTTCTATCATAGACTCAAATTCCTTTTTAGCTATACTTAATTTCTCAGGTGACAGCCGCCTAGGTTTTTCAAACACTGGAGGTCCTTTGGTTTCAATATAATGTACAGTATGATGTGCACAACTTGAAGTAAAAGACTGCGCTGCAATAACACTTGGAAACTGTTTGATTATGTCTACAAATTTTTGTTCTGATGTATAAGTTTTAATGGAACATATTGCATGGTGTGATTCGATACATGAGGTAGATAAATTAGTAATTTTATCTATTAACTTCTTGTTGCGAATATTGACCATAAAATTAAAATGAAACAAAAAATCAGCGCCTATTATTGCTTTGCTTACTGGTGCTTTAATAAATTCCCATTTAAATGTCCGCCTTAATTTAAGATCAACAGTTAAAATTGTCTTACCATATGTATTGATGACCGTGTTGTTTGCTGCGAACAATTTGAGGTCGGTAGCGCCGCTCTGTTTAGCACTACATGGAATAATCGAAACATCTGATCCAGTGTCAATAAGAAACTGTTGACCAGATACTTTATCTGATATAATAAGACGATGGCTGATGTTACTGTTATTTACATTATGACAGTCTGGAATCAGAGTATCTAATGCTGCCTTAGTAGATACGATTTCTAGTTTTCCGATTTAGTTTTAAAGGTATTATAATGTTTGCATGGTTCTACACACTTTTTTGCCTTGTGCTTAAAATTGGTGTGATAAAAACATAATCCGTCTTTTGCTGGTCCCCAAATCATGAAACCTGAGCGAGATCTGGACCTGGAACTTGTTCTCTGTTGATCTTGATCTTTCCTAGAATTGCGTTCTAACTTAAGTTCTGCTACATCTTTGATCAACTGTTTCAATAGCTCAGTTGTCGGATCACTTGCTACCGCTGCAACAACGCGTGATTCTCCAATTTCTCCGATTTTGTCAGCCAACTTTGAGAGTTCTTCCACAGTGCCACTTGTGACAGCGAGACAGGATTGCATAGCGATTGGAAGATGTTGTAACCATAAGGATTTCAATAATTCCGAACTCAAAGCTACTCCTCCTAGACGTTGCATTTCATTTAGTAATGTAGATGGTTTTCTGTCACCAAGTTCTACTTCACTCAGTAGTTTTCTTAATTTTTTCTCTTCGCTATCTGTGTAAATACTGACTAACCGTGCCTTAAGCGTGTCATATTTATTGTTAACCGGTGGTGTTTGTATTATGTCAGATACTTGAGTTAATATTTCGGTATCAACGGCAGATATGACATGGTAAAATTTTGTAGTATCATTGTTAATTCCGCCAAGTACAAATTGTGCCTCTATCTGTGCAAACCAAATGTTTGGATCACCTTTCCAAAATGGTGGCGTTTTTATTGCGACACGGTTGACGTTTATGTTTGCTGTTGAGTCAGCCGAGTTTGGTTGGTTCGCCATGTCTGTACTCTACGGCTGTCGTCGTAAGTCACCAATTGTACGTATTATATTGTTATGTGTAGGAATATAAATATTACACAACAACTGCGTACTTTTAGGTTTTATTTTATAAATTTGAAAACAACTTTT